TTTTTTGACAACAGCATATTTCCGTTCCCTAGGCAGGAGCTTCCTACTGAGGAAGAGGACGGGGTGTTCGTCGTCCCCGACCATTTGTGAAAGTACTGCCCCCAACCCTACATCAGAGGCATCGGTTTGTAGAATAAAGTCCTTCCCCCTGTCTGGGGTCATGAGTATGGGGTCAGTGCAGAGGGCCATCCGTAGATCTGAAAAAGCGTCTTCAGCCGCTGTCGTCCATCTTACTATGTCTGGGCCCCGAGCTTTCATTTGGCCCATTAATGGGCATGCCCTGGTGGCAAAGTGGGGAATGAACCGTCTGTAGTACCCCACTAGTCCCAGGAATGCCCTGACCTGTTTTTTTCGGAGTGGTCGGGGCCACTTCTGTATAGCTTCTAACTTGTTGAGTTGGGGCCTCACCACGCCCCTCACCACTATATACCCGAAGTAGTTGGCTTCCGCTAGCCTGAGCAAACACTTGGAGGGGTTTGCCATCAGCCCCGCCTTCCTCGGGGTATCCAGCACTGCCTCCACCTTCTCCAAGTGTGTCTCCCAGTCGGGGCTATATATGATAACTTCGTTGAGATAGGTTGCCGTGTACTTTCCATGTGGTCGCAACAGTTTGTCCATGAGCCTTTGGACAGTAGCGGGCACCCCATGCAACCCAAAGGGGAGGACGGTGTACTGATATAGTCCCTCTGGAGTTGCAAAGGCCGTCTTCTCTTTATCGGCCTTGGCCAGGGGATCTGCCAATAGCCCTTGTTAGGTCAAGGGTAGACATAAACTGTGCTTTTCCCAATCTGCCAATTAGCTCATCTATCCGGGGTATAGGGTACGCATCGAACTGGGACACCTCATTCAGCTTTCGGAAGTCATTGCAGAACCTCACGCTGCCATCCGGCTTAGGCACTAAAACCACTGGACTTGACCATTGGCTATGAGATTCTTCAATGACTCCTAAGGCCAGCATTTTCCTCACCTCTGTCATGATCTCCTCTCTTTTGTCCTCTGGGATCCGGTATGGCTTGACCTTCACCTTCACTCCAGGCTCTGTGAGGATGTGATGGTGAACCTCAGTAGTCCTGCCTGGCTTTTCTGAGAACACATCCTGCTTGCGTTTAATCAGGCTGATCACTTCAGATGATTGCTCCGGAGTCAACTCCGGGGATATTCCCACTTGGTCGGGCTGGTCGCTTTTAGGGGATGGTGCCCCTAGCACAACCACATGTGCTTCTCTATCCTGCCATGGTTTCAGCAGGTTTATATGGTAGATCTGCTCCAGCTTCTGGCAACCCGACTATCGGACCTTATAGTCGACTTCTCCTATGACTTCTGTTATCTCATATGGCCCCTGCCATCTGGCCAGGAGCTTGCTCTCTGCCATGGGTATGAGCACCATTACCCGGTCTCCCACCTGGAACTTTCAGGTCATTGCTTAGCGATTGTAGTATGCCTGTTGGGCCCCTTGGGCCTTCTCCAGGTGTTCGCGCACAAGGGGGGCGACTTGGACTATCCTGTCTTTCATTTGCAATACATGTTCAACTATGTTTCTCCCAGTGTTTGGCTGTTCTTCCCAGCCCTCTTTGGCCATGTCCAATATGCCCCTGGGGTGGCGACCATATAACAGCTCAAATGGGGAGAATCCAGTGGAAGCTTGGGGAACCTCCCATACAGCAAACAGCAAGTAAGGCAGCAGGGTGTCCCAATCTTTCCCGTCGCTACTAACCGCTTTCCGTAGCATGTTCTTCAATGTTCTACTGAAGCGTTCGACAAGACCATCAGTCTGGGGATGATAGACTGACGTCCTGAGGGTCCATATATGGAGCATTGTACATAGGTCTTTCATTAACTTAGACACAAAGGGGGTCCCTTGGTGCATCAGGATCTCTTTAGGATCTGAAAAAAATCCGGACTAATTCTTTGGCTATGGTCTTGGACATGGTGTTCCGTAGGGGTACAGCCTTGGGATATCGGGTGGCATAATCTAGTACTACCAGAATGTACTGATGACCCCGGGCTGACTTCTCCAGTGGCTCTACTAGATCCATAGCTATTTGCTCGAATGGGATTTCAATAATTGGTAGAGGTACCAAAGGGGCCCTTAGGTGTGGTCGGGGCCCATGTAACTGACATTCTGGACAGGAGGTACAATATCGCCAGACAGCCGCATAAATGCCGGGCCAAAAAAACCTCTGCAGAATCCAATCAAGGGTCTTATCTACCCCTAGATGGCCCCCAAACAGATGGCTGTGGGCCAGATCCATCACACCCCTCTGATGCTTCTGTGGGACCAAGAGTTGTTCTACGACTTGCTCTTGGACCTGGACTACTCTGTATAGCAGATGACCCTTAATTACATAATATGGCCCTGGGCCCTTGACTCTCCCCTCCACGGGGACCCCATTTACCTCGACTACTAGTTTACGAATATTGCTGTATATTGGATCATTGGCCTGATCCTGACCAGAATTCCTGAGTGAGGTCCCCATTTGTCCAAACTCAGGGAGATCTACCTCTGTCTCCCCCTTGGGGAAAACCCCCGGGGAACAAGGTCCGACTCTTGGGTCGTTGATCTCCTGCCCCGCCCCGCTGTCCATTGAGCCACCTCTTTCCCCTACAAGCGTAGATTTCTGGTACTGGGTTAAGATCCTCCTTCCCCTCCTTTTATCTGCCCTTCATTCCCTCCGAGTCTTCTGGGGCTTTCCTGGCGGGGAGAACAAATCCTGGCCAAATTCGTGGAAGGCTGGGGGGTGGTGGGTTATCTATCTGGGCCACCCCCTGGGTCCCGGGTTCATTATTTTCTTCCACCTTCTCCCCAGGGAGTAGGCTATCAAATCCCAGGAAGTCTCGTCCGATAAGGACTGGGTAGGGGAGTGTCAGAACTACTCCCACTGTCACCTTAGTGGGGTTTCCGAGAACTTCTATTTTTACGGGGATGGTCAGGTAGTAACTGACATCCCCATGCACACAGGATATTCCTGAGCGTTTGGCCCGGGATAGTTGGTCCTACCCAACCAGCTTTCCCGAGACCAGCATGATTGCACTTCCCGAGTCTACTAATGCTGTGGTCTCTATACGATTCATCTTAACAGGTCTAGTGTATCTATGAGGGACCATTGCAACCCCTACTAGACTTATTAGATCACATGGTCTCCCTATATCTCCCAGTTCACATTGCATGGGCTCTTCTAGATTTGGGCATTGGGCAGTGATATGCCCCAATTCACCACATGCATAACATTGGTACCCTGCTCGGGGCAGTCCCCGATTTTTCAGGCTACTGGGCTTTCTCCTCTGAGCCTTTCTCCCCCAGTCCTCAAGTCTCTCTGGGACCTCTGGCTGCTCTTCAGCTTCCTTCCTCCCCTCCATAGTCCAGCCTGGTGTTAGGGCAAACTGGGGCCTCGGCGCAGAGACTTGTCTCTGATTCTGGCGCCTTCCTTCCCCGCTGGTCTGCAAAAGTTCTTGGGCTGCTAGGTGTCTCTCTACGAGGGCAAGTAGTTCATCGTAGGAGGAGGGATCATTTTGGCGGACCCACCCCCGTATATCCGGCGGCAACCCCCTCATGTACCTGTCCAACACGAGGATTTCCACTATCTTCTCCGGCCCATGGGTCTCAGGGCGGAGCCACTTCTGGGTGAGGTGGATTAAATCAAATAGCTGGGACCTCGGCGGTTTGCTGCCCTGGTATTTCCACTCATGGAAGCGCTGGGCCCGTATGGCTGACGTCACACCTGACCTTGCCAGGATTTCCCCCTTCAGTTGTGGGTAATCCATAGCTGTCTCTGTGGTCAGGTCAAAATAGGCCTTCTGGAGCTCCCCACACAGAAATGGAACCAGGATACCTGCCCTCTGGTCTTGGGGCCAGGCCTCCCGCAGTGCTGTCCTCTCAAAGGCTTCTATATCATCATCCGTAGTCATCTTCTGTAAATAGTTGCTTGCCCGCAGCGGTTGGATCCCCTGGGGCCCGTGCGTCAGTGTGGTCAGGGCTTTTAACTGGTTCACTACTTCATTCAGGGTGGCTCGATCTTGGGCCGCCTGGTTCATCAGTAATTGGTTTTCTCCTGTTGGACGCGTACTGACTCTTGCTGGGCAGCCATCTGCACTCTGGTAGCCTCTTGTTGGGCCGCAGTGGCCTGTACCAAAACCTTCACTACATCCTCCATTTGTGTGTGTGTGTGTGTGTGATTTACCCTGCCCTGAGATGGCTTGCCACAGAGCCTTACTCACTCACCACATCCTACTTCTGACACCAAGTGTGGCAAAATATCTTGTTCACCTCAGTAGGCTCATTCCTTTTTAGCCTTGGAGACTCAGGTTTGGGGCAAGGTGAATCCTTATAGGTGGCACAGGGCCCTGCTACTCCTCTCCTCAGTCAATCCCTTGTGCTTGTTTTCCTTCCCTTCTGGGGAGCGAGTGCAGCCTCCCTACTGGGAAGGTCTGGTGTCTTGCTGCAAACAGCCTACTGGCAGCTTCCCTGCTCCTCTCACTCCCTCACTCTCCCCCTCCTACCACTCAGGGGAGTGTTTAAAAAGGTCCCAAGTAGTTGGAGTCAGCTAAACCTAATTGCTTCCTTAGCAACCCCTTTTCCAGCTGAACCTTATTGCCCAGTGGTTCTCTCCCCTCAGTGGATAGGGAGGGGCCTTTTAATCCCCTGGGACTAATTACTACCCCCCTTTTGTAGCTGTTTGTCCTGGGTTTACCACAGTGGTTAAAACATACCAACACAGGAAGCAGTTAAGTGGTAGCAATGCTTAAAGTGCTCTACCCAAGCATTACAAAAAGCTATTTCATAATTTTCAAAATAAATAGTGCACCATTCTGAGCCACAGATAGGGGCAGTGGTGATATGGCACTGTTGATAAACCTTACCTTTTTAACAATTAATTGTCAGATAAAGTCTTAAAGGAGAACCAGATGTTAGAAAAGTCTTGAGGGGAAACTGAGTCTGGAGTACTTTATCTTTCTCTAATTCAAAGAAAGAAGAATTAATTAACTCTTTTCTTTATTTTTAGCTTCTCATGTCTGTGTTTGACAACAGTATGAAAACTTCTGGAGTCATTGAAAGTGACCCTTTTGATTGGGAGAAGAGTGGAACTGATGGCTCTCTGACGACGACAACAACATCAACAACTCCTCAGTTACATACTCGCCTGACCCCAGCTGCAATTGGGTATGTTCAAGCATTTCCTATGTTTAACCTAAAAATCCAACCACTTAGCACCAGGGGAAAGTCATCTGTTACATCTGTTTCTCCAGGGTGTTAACTAATAGGGTATTGCAGGATACTAGGTCTCCCTTTGGTCACTATTGAGCCTCTCCTCAGGAAAAAAAAAAAAGTGCTGCTGTCCTAAATATACAGCAGTTACGAATGTTGATACATGTCTGGGTTAGGAAATCACTTTATTAGATTCCCATTCTGCAGTCAACCTTTTGCTAAAGCCTATGTTAAGAACCTAAGGCCTGATCCCTAGCACATTGAACTCAATTAAAGACTTCCGTTGCCTTCTCTGGGCTTTAAATCATCACTTACGAGGACCACTTGCAAATAACTGCTTTATTTTTCACTTCTTCCTTTGTAGAATAGCCAATGCCACACCTATCCCAGGAGATTTGCTGCGAGAGAACACGGATGAGGTGTTTCCAGATGAGCAGCTCAGTGATGGGGAGAATGGTATTCCTGTTGGAGTCTCACCAGAGAAACTGCCTGGGTCCCCCGGGCATCAACGTCCTCAGGAAAAAGATGTTTGGGAGGAGATGGATGCCAACAGAAACAAAATAAAGCTGGGGATCTGTAAGGTATTTATAGAGCTGCAATGGGAAAAACCTCTGTCATAAATATAAAGGGAAGGGTAACCACCTTTCTGTATACAGTGCTATAAAATCCCTCCTGGCCAGAGGCAAAACCCTTTCACCTGTCAAGGGTTAAGAAGCTAAGGTAACCTCGCTGGCACCTGACCCAAAATGACCAATGAGGGGACAAGATACTTTCATATCTGGAGGTGTGCGGGGGAACAAAGGGTTCTGTCTGTGTGTGTGATGCTTTTGCCAGGAACAGATCAGGAATGCAGCCTTACAACTCTTGTTAAGTTAGTAAGCTAGAACATGCGTCAGATTTCCTTTTGTTTAATGGCTGATAAAATAAGCTGTGCTGGATGGAATGTATATTCCTGTTTTTGGGTCTTTTTTGTAACTTAAGGTTTTGCCTAGAGGGATTCTCTATCTTTTGAATTGGATTACCCTGTAAGGTATTTACCATCCTGATTTTACAGAGGTGATCCTTTTACCTTTTCTTTAATTAAAATTCTTCTTTTAAGAACCTGATTGCTTTTTCATTGTTCTTAAGATCCAAGGGTTTGGGTCTGTGTTCACCTGTACAAATTGGTGAGGATTCCTATCAAGCCTTCCCCAGGAAGGGGGTGTAGGGCTTGGGGGGATATTTTGGGAGAAGACGTCTCCAAGTGGGCTCTTTCCCTGTTCTTATTTAAAACGCTTGGTGGTGGCAGCATACAGTTCAAGGACAAGGCAAAGTTTGTACGTTGGGGAAGTTTTTAACCTAAGCTGGTAAGAATAAGCTTAGGGGGTCTTTCATGGAGGTCCCCACATCTGTACCCTAGAGTTCAGAGTGGGGAAGGAACCTTGACAATATGTTTCAGCAATTTCCTGGCATCATCAGGAACATGATAATGTGGCATGATGAGTAATAGGAGAGCAAATGCTCGCTTGGCACTTGAAATATTCTGCAGTTTGACCAGAGAGAATGGTTTTCCAAAGCAGAGAGCTACATGCTTCAATGGGTCAGTGCTCTTTTCACTTCTAAAGGCCATGATTCATATTGGGTTCAAAGATGATTTTGTTTCCTAGTCACTTTCCATGGTAGTAATTAAGAGTGAAGATATCAAAATAGATCAGAACTAACTCTCCAGTCAACAAAATAAATATGATTGGTATTCTCCATTTCATCAATATTGCATGCTTGTCTTCATAATGTAACATATCCCTCAGTTTGTGTTGAGTAGAATCCCATTACTGGAAAAGTAGAAGTACTAAGGGTCAACATTGAGGTAGATAGACTAATTTATGGAAGGGAAACTTGCTCAGTGCTTGTCTAGATTATAGCTGGCTCCTGACAGTGATCCTGGTCTCTCACTATCATTACTTCTATTATTCTCTCTCTCTCATAATCACTACAATTCATATTCAGACAATTGTAGCCAGTGCTCCTCTGATGTGAAAATGTCATCAGTAGCTGTAAGATGTTACTGAAGTGTTCTTTAAGCTGAAATACTATCTAGTGACAGAGCTGTGTATTTTTCAAGGTATATGTAAAATGGGTTGGGAGGAGGCCAGACTGCTGTGATACTTATGCTTGTACCTGGCTAATGTGTATTAGTTTTTTAAAATGGCAGAAGACAGATGGACTTTTTCTCTTTTGGGGCCAAATTCAGCTCAGGTATAAGCAGATACAAGTTTCATTGATATCAGTGGGTGTTACATCTGCTTACACCGGGGATCAGAGTGTTCCTTCAACACTGAATCATACCCAGTTGATCTACAAAGTGAGATGCAGTTGGAGATCTGATTTTAATTTCTAATAAACATTGCTCTACATCAAAAAGCTGCCTTGTAGACTTTGCGAACAATGGTATTGCATGCCTCAGATATGCATAAGGATGAGTTAACATGATGATTAACCTTTCATCAATAAAAAAAAAAGTCTATGACTGTAAAGCGGTATGAAGAAGCTCCTAGGCTTCTGGATTCGACCTGCTATTGATGAGAATTCCAGAAATGGGAGTGGGGATCAGTATACATCTAAAATCTGGGAAATGTATTGTTTTCTTCCATTTACTCCTTCCGTCCTGAGGCTTAATGAAAACCACAGTGTTGCTGGCAATTAATCCCTAATTTAAATTTATGCCTTAGGAAACTGGTAGCTGATGAGCACAAATAAACTACATGAAATATGGCATGAACTTCTGCTGAAGGAGCATCCTCAGTATGAATTTGTTTTGTTACAGGATAGAAGCATTGGCTTATATGCACTGCATACACTGTTGTGTCTTCCTCTGTTTCAGCACTCCTATAAATTACATTTTTATTTCTATTGTGCTTTATTTGCACAGGCTTCTACAGAGGAGGAAAACAGCCATGGACCAGTGAATGGACTGCTTAATGCACCAAGCCTGGGTTCTCCAGTTCGAGTCCGCTCAGAGACCACCCAGCCAGACAGGGATGTCCCACTGATGAGAAAGTTACGTTCAATCCACAGCTTTGAACTGGAGAAACGGTTGACCTTGGAATCAAAGCCAGACACTGATAAATTTCTTGAGACCTGGTAAAGAGAAAATTTCTATCTCACATTTATGCTTGGATCTTTTAGGGGCTTGTTGTCTTAGACTGTATTTTCTTTTCTCTAGTACTGTATCCATAGACAGTGGTCAGTGAAAACCAGAAATGGAGTTGCTGAGCTATGCTTATGCCAAGTATAGCTAGTAATGTCTACTGGATTTATAGTATTTGCTCTGAGGAACATCCCTGGCTTCTATCCCATTTTACATTTTTAAGTTAAATTTTTATTGAATTTTTATTACTGTTTACACTAAGCCAGAGTTCATGGTGTATTATAGACAAATAAAGGCAAAGTCCTTACCTCAAGGAATTCTTAGTTTAAGGGCCCATTTCTATCACACTTCTGTCGATTAGCACTTCATGAACAGTCCTGTTGACTTCAGTAGGACATGGGAGTCAGTGACTTCATGAGAGTTAGTGCAACTTAACTTGGATAAGCATTACAGAATCAAGCACTAAATTAGATATAGGCATAGATTACCTCTGGTAAGGTGTAATGTGTACGAGGAGCAGGATTTATGTAAAATAAAATAATGAGTTTACTTGTTTCTGTAGTGCATGTGTCATTAGTTTCACTGTTGTTGTATATTTCTAAAGTTGTCAGGAAAGCTTGTTAGGATTTTGAGAGAGAATTTGAAGTTGGAGAAGGAGGTTGTGTGAGTACAGGATCAGGGAATTTAGTCCAACTGAAGGGAGTATTATGGAAGGATAACACACAGGGAGGCTAGAGGGAAGAGGTGTTGGCAGAGCAGAAAGCTAAATCAGGAAGCAATAGAAGAGTGTTGAGATCTAGGCAGTGGTAGAGCTGCGCAGAGCCTTGAACATGAGAACAAGGAATTTGAATTTGATGCAGAGCTTACATGAGTAGAGGAATACATGATCAGAGTAGACAGAGAGGAAAAAGAATTTAGTAGTATTTTGGATAAACGAGAGAGGTTCAAAGAGTGAGTCATGTAAAAACAAAAACTGAGACATAGAGTTGTATGTCATACTTAATTAAGGACAAAGAAAGGCAACTATCTCACACCAGTAATAGAACTAAAGTTTCATCATTTCCTTAACACCCCCTCACTCACAGTGGACAACAAAGGCAGAGATTTACATTACTGAATAATAAAAACTCATTAGTGTTCTTCAGTAAATCTCTTACAAAACAAGAGAACATCCCATGCTGCAGAGAGACGGGATGAATGTTCATGTTTCTCACAAAGCAAAACTGCAGCAGTTAGAAAATCCTTGCAGGTAGATAGAAAGGGTATATATTTAGGCTGGTTTATTATATAGTAATAACAAAGTTATGAAACAAAACAAGTTGATGTGGTACATGGTTATTCTCATGTCACCCTCGGTCTCCTAATCTCCTTTTTTCATTCGTACCAAAAGGGAAGTACTGAATCCAGGCTGAAATGTTTTGGCATTAATTCATGCTGAGGTGAGGAGTTGGTTTCCTTTCTTTAGTTCCAGTGTTCCTCTGACTTTTATCAACTTTCTGCCTCCTTCCCCTTATTTTCAGTAAATTGCTGTTGAGCCCTTATTTGGCAGGAGTTACGTGTTCACATGCAAAACATTTGGTTGCAGGCATCTCCATAATTGCTGCTTGAAAATTATGTTTCTTATGCTCATCCTTGGATCTGTAAGACACTGCAGTAGACTCTCAAGTGAATTTAACTTGGCTTCTATGGCACAATTCAGATTGTGTAGTTCATTCTTAATTAATTCATATGTAACTTCTTTCTCTCCTAAGCTTGCAGAAGATGCAGAAAGACTCAAATGCTGGGAAAGAAACTGCTGTTGCTGCTCCTCCTCTTCCTCAGAAAATATCTGTTCCTGCTGTGGCTGCCCGCACTGACCGTGTCTGGCATTATGATGAAGAATATCTCCCTGATGCTTCTAAGCCTGCTTCAGCCAGTTCTCCAGAACAAGTTGATGGCATTGTCAGTAATGGCTTTGTGGCTGTCAACTTAAGCTCCTGCCGGCAGGAGGTTGATTCCAAGGAATGGGTGATAGTAGATAAGGAACGGGACTTGCAGGATTTCAGGACCAATGGAGCTTTAGTACATAAAACAACTGGAAGTCCCTCAGATGAGGAGCCTGAGGTTCTACAAGTCCTAGAGGAATCCCCCCAAGAGAAACAGCTGAGACTGAGTATTTGGGCAGAAAACAACGTCCATGCCAAGAATGAAGCCTTAGGTGTGGGGTTAGATCTACCTGTTGATCATGCTACTGCTGCTTCTGAACAATTTACAGATAAATTAGAATTTATGGCTGGAGTTGCTGGCCAGCTTCTTGCAGCCACACCTTCAAGTCCAATGGAGGCCCAAGCAGGAGGAGCCCTTACTCTGGTAAGAAAACTCATAGTTATAATCATATCTTTACTCTCTTTTCAGTGCTATATGAGAATAAAGCAGTAAATGAAAAGGCAGTGGCTAAAGTGTAAACAGGGTTCTGGAATGTTTAGGTTATGGGATATGGGACTTGACTCTGCACCAGGGATTTCCCAGGATCTGCTAAATTTGTGTCTAAATTCTGCAAGAGGTTTGCTTTCGGTTCAGCAGTGAACAACCCTCAGAACTGGGCTTAATTAAAAAATATACATTAAAAAGAACCTTTTAACCAACGACATATACACATATGTATATTGTTATGAGTAAATAAACAGAGAGTATAACAAATGTGTAAAATACTATGCAATAGTATGTTATGTCCTGTAGAGAAAGTCTAAAAGGTCTAAAAGGCAGAAGCTAGTATCGTACCAAAGAAACAAAGTTTCTTGCTCCCTGCGTCCTGTAATTAGTTTCTTTCTTCTGAATTTCCTCTGCTGCTTTCTGCCCCTGAAACAACTTGGCTTCCCTGTTTGACTGGCTATAATCTGTTTATTGATCATAGGGACTTCTAGTGCACTGACACTGTAATGTTTATGTTTCTGCAACCCCTGATATATTTTGCACCAGTTATAGTTCCTTGCCGGCTTCTCTAACTCCACTGCTACTTCCCACTTCTGAAATAGTTCTGTAATTGCTTGTCATTTGCCTCTCTTCTGCTGGACAGATTGCCCAACAGATTCCTCTGCTCCTTCTCCTGTTGGCATGTTTCTCTTTTCTGTCTCATACATGCCTCATCTGCACAGTTCCCAATAGTTTTCCTTCCCCCTCAGATGTCTCCATCACCAAATAATGCTCCCTCCGACTTTATTTCTCCCCTTCCTTTCTTAGAGAGGCAGTGTGGTTTAGTGGTTAAACCAGGGTATAGGGACTCAAGACTTGTGATTTCAGTTCTTGCCTCTTACACTTACTGTGTCAATCTGGGACACATATGTCAGTATTCTCAAACTTGGGTGTCTAAAGTTAGGCATTGAAATCCATATTTAGGCACCTAAATTAAACCAGTGGCATCTGTAGGTATACAGTATCTCTGAATATCAGGCCACATTTATTTAAGTACCTAACCTTAAGTACCCATATTTGAAAGTATTTGTCTTAATCTCTCTACTCCTTATTTTTTCTATATTATGGTTAAGTGCAGCATATTGCTTAGAAGAGACTTCTTTTCAGTGAGGGTGGCAGTATTCTGTTTTCCAAAATAAATTCCAAAGTTAAAACCCAGATAGAAAAGGACTCTGGTTTCATAAATCCTAATAAACCTGGCTTCACTTCTCTCTTACTTTACACCACAGTTTTAAAAAGTTAAAGTTCTTTTTGCTAAAAGAGAGGCTGCAAAAATATATGTCCCTTGATGCTCCTGATCACTTACTAATTCAGGAATCTGAAATTTTATTACTTTAGGAAAATTCAGAGACACAATTAAACAGTTCTACTTAATCTCTTCTACACATATGCAAATATCCCCATGTTCTTGTGGAATATTAAAGACAGTAGAAATATTTTATACATGGTTATTTATTTTTAGGCACCCATTCTTTGCAAACTGTGTAAGTTACAGAAAGATTAAATGTACAGAAAAGACCTTAAAATATGCAGCTGCTGCTAAGCTAAAGAGAACAAGAATTTTGAAACATACGTTAGTAATGTGGCCAACACAAAATACTGCAGTTTTACAGTTGGTTGAGAACCCCATAAAGATGTAGCGTTGATTTACAGCTCAACTGTTGCTTTTTAACTATAGCCATAGTAGACAATGTATAGTAACATTGTTGGTGCAAATTGCTAATTTTCCGTTCTCAGTTTGCAACTTTGCATGGACCTTCTTCACACAAATGTACTATTTTACGGGCAATGGTTTGCTTACTTAAACTCTGAGTATAGGTGGGATTGAAACTGACTTGATTCTAATGGAGCTGTCATTCACTGAAATAGTAGTGAACAATGTGAATTTCTGGAGAGGAAAGTGAAGGCGCATTGGGAAATGGAGATAGCTATAATCTAGGTTTTTGAATTGGACTATGTAGACGAAGAAACTTTTGTTGAAATGGTAAATGGGGTAGGATTATGGCCTGAACTGGAAAAAGAGAGAAGTACAGGTAAATTTAAACTGCATCAGGAATGGGAGACATTTCAGAGAAGGTGAGTGGAGGAAACTTGTCTGGCTTGACAATGAATAAACAGTATGAAATTGAAAATGGAAATTAAACTGGAAGTACAACAACTCCTCACTTAAAGTTGTCCCGGTTAACGTTGTTTCGTTGTTACCTTGCTGATCAGTTAGGGAACATGCTCGTTTAAAGTTGTGCAGTGCTCCATTATAATGTTTGGCAGCCGCCTGTTTTGTCCACTGCTTTCAGGAAGAGCATCCCATTGCAGCTAGCTGGTGGGGGCTTGGAACTAGGGTGGACTGTCAGCCCCCTATCAGCTTCCCATTCCCCTAAGTTCCATGTGCAGCAGCCGCCCAGCAAGCTATCAGTTGCCAGCAGTTCAGCTGTCCCTCTCCCCACTGCCATGTGCTGCTCCTGCCCTCTGCCTTGGAGCTGCTCTCCAGAGCCTCCTGCTTGCTGAGGTGGGGGGCCCTAATGTCAGGGTGTCCCCCTCCCCCTTCCTCCTGCACCCCGCTTACCCCATCTCCATAGAGCAGGGGGGACACACGACAGGGCTCAGGACTGAGGGAGCTTCCTGGCAGCAGCTGCTGCGGTCTCAGCTTGCTGATTAACTTAACAAGGTAGTGTACTTAAGAGTGGTGTCAGCTACTTAAAGGGGAAATGCGCCTCTCTCTCTCTCACACACAGGGTGTGTGTCTCTGTCTGCCATGCTGTTTCCCCTCCCTCCATTTGTGCTACCTTGTAGAGTGTGAGGCTACATTAACAACAATGAGTTAACCCTTGAGGGCTCAGCCAATTGCTAGTTCATCATTTAGCAGTAAGGCATCCCACCCTTTGACTCCACCACCTCAACCAAGCTTCACAATCATCATCGCTGTGTACAGTATTAAATTGTTTGTTTAAAGCTTATATTGTGTGTGTGTGTATGTGTGTGTATATGTGTGTGTGTGTATATATATATATAGTCTTTTGTCTGGCAAAAAAAAAAAATTTCCCTGGAACCTAACCCCCCCATTTACATTAGTTCTTGTGTGGAAACTGGATTCGCTTAACATCATTTCGCTTAAAGTTGCATTTTTCAGGAACATAACTACCACATTAAGTGAGGAGTTACTGTATGAGTGGAGGTGATTTGGGAAACTTAATGTAAATTTGAAAAGGATTATCAAACAGTGCCTTTCAAAGGGTCTGATCCAAAGACTACTGAAGAAAGTGATTGTCTTCCTTCTATTTCAGTGGCCTTTGAATCAGGGTCAAAGTGAGGCTGCTCCACAAATACCTGGTAGGTAACATGGTGCTGGCTTCTCCTCCTTATTTCTAGCTGCTTTTACAGCTGGTAGGCTTTTTATTTCAAAGGAGACCTGGATTCCTGTTAAAGCAGTTGGAAACAAGCAAAAAGAGTTTACCTCCAGTAGGGTTCATAGCTACTTAAGAGAGGGGGAGGAAACACTGATTGATAATCATGGGGGTCACACACATACCTAGGGAGACAGAAATAGAACTAGTCTTCAGGGCCTGAAGTCATTGATAAACTGTCCAGGAGCAGAAAACCACTCTATTGGATAGTATGCCCGGGGGACCAAGGAGAGAGGGAAATAAAGGGGTTGAGAAATATTATGGGGAAGAGGGAGGAATAGATAGGGAGAAGGAGATGACGAGATGAAAAGTAAATGGTTTGATTAACATTTTTCCAAAAGGGCAAAACACTTATCCCATTCAAAACAATGAGAAATGCATACACTCTTCCCTAATATAACTGTTCCATGTAAGCATTTGCTTCAGTTGACATACATACATATAGTGCAAATGGTAGATGACATGTCCACTAAAATATCTTTTTGTTAAGATTTGATCCAAGTTAGGAAAAAGTATGAGACACCCTAGCCTAGATATTATCTAAAGGAAGAAGGTAAACTGAGGAGAACTGGAGACAGTAACTTCTGTGCAGTGCTGAGAGAGATTAGAATTTGACTAGGATGGATCAAATGTGTGACTAGGGCCCCAGTTCTTTGCCACTGATGTGAATGGGACCATTGATAAGCATTTTGGATAAATTTTTAATTCATAAACTTTTTTTGTGGTTGAATTAATCTCATCTTAAGTAATATTAAGAATCCAATTTAAAGCAAGAAAAGGAAGAGAATTCATCGTTAAAGGTATAAAATTCATGATGCTGTAATTTCACTTCTTCATCCCACACAACTGTGCCATCCCTCCTTACTTTGGGCCCAACTTTCTGCAAAATAGTCAAATCTGATATTTTGACAGCCCACCAAAAATGTGCACTTATCATTATACATTTCTCATCAGATGTCTCCTAGAGGTCTGAAATGCTAATCCTGGCACTGTAGCTGGAGGGCTTTATAACTTACTTACTGTCAGAAATAATAGGGAAAGCAGAATCAGATGAATTTCTAGCCACCTTCAGCTGAAGTATTAAAACTAATCACACATCTGGTGGAAAAGACAGCGAGGAATAAACTAACAAGGGAGAAGTTTGGATGAAGAACAGGAGACAGAAAAATGGGCACATAGTGACAGAGATATAGAATGAAATAAAAATGGTAATAAGAGACAGAATAGAGTGATGATGACAGACATGTAAATGTAAGGAGAATAAGAAAACAATTAACTGGAAGAAAGTAACTGAATTTAATGTGAGAGACAGAGAATTTTACTTTTATATAGCACCTTTTATACAATACATAAATAACTGCACCACTGAAATGCAGCTACTTCTGGGACAGAAGGTATTATCAAGGCACACAACAACCAGAACAAAAGGAGGGAGAGGAGAAGGAGAAATTTTCTGCTGGCTTGGATTGTGACCTCTTTTTGAATTCTGACTTATGT